CCACTCACTCACCCACACAGCGACCCACTCACCCACCCACTCAACCACCCACTCACCTACACAACCACCCACTCACCCACCAACCCACTCACCCACTCACCCACCCACTCACCCACACACCCACTCACTCACCCACTCACTCACCACACTCACTCAACAACAACAACAACCGCCATTCGCCACTAAGTGGCGGTGACATCACCACGACGCTTGTGCCAGGCTAGGTGCACGTTGAGGCCACGTGAAGTGTCGAACGCCCGCTGGCAGGAGGTCACGGGGCAGACCCAGCAGGTGCCACGGGTCGACTGACTGAGACGACTGGCTGATGCACCACCTGTCCCCCCTACTGTGCCAACCTGCTGTGCTTTAGCCACCCGGCGCTCCGCTCGTTGTTCTGAGCGTCGCTCCTCCGCCCTCCGTTGTTGTTGGAGGGCGACTGCCTCCAACTGCCCAGTAGCATCCTTCACGAGCCTCCTCCACAGAGGCCGATCGTGACACCGCTGGTACCAGTCATCGGCAAGTCCACTCAGCTCCACGTCCTCCTGTACCACATCACTCCATCTCTTCTCTAGCTCGTGCCACGCCCGCTTAGCCCCCTCAATCCGGCTGAACAAAAGCTGTTTCGGCATGCGGTGGCTGGGCATGCGGGCTACATGACCCAGCCATCGCAGCCTTCCCCGCCGGATTAGCTAACCGATGGGACCTTGCCCAGATCTTTCAAGGATTTTTGAGCTCCTCACACAATCCAGTCTGGATAAACCCAGGATGGATCGTAGGCAGGCCAGCCTAAATGTTTCTAACCGGCGAAGATGTTCCATTAGGGCGGTCCACGTTTCGCAAGCGTAGAGAAGAGAGGGAATGACCGTGGCCGAGAAGACCTGAAGCTTAGTGCGGAGCGACAGACCAGGTAGCTTCCACACAGCGTTACGCAACCGATGAAAAGATATTGCCGCTCGACTGATTCGGAGTGAGACCTCTGCTGTTAAACCGGAACCAGTCATAAGCACACTGCCCAGGTATGGGAAACTCTCCACTCTCTCCACAACTGCCCCATCACCGATTGGGAGTTGTGGGGGTGGAGTGTCCGATGGTACAAAATACCCAGGCAGGTGCTTAGTTTTGGTGGGGCTGATGGTAAGGCACCACCTCTTAGTGGCACGCTCCAGTCTCAGCAGCAGCATCTCCAACTCCTCCTCCGAATGTGCAGCTATTACCAAATCATAAGCATACATAACGTGGTTGAGCAATAGGGAGCCATCCCTTGACCGCACCCGGGCGTCGATCAGCCTCCCATTATATCTGTACCATATGGAGATTCCCCCGGTACAGCAATTAAAGGCTTAACGAACTACGTGGTCGAAATAGATGTTAAATAATGTGGGACCCAGAGGACATCCCTGTCGCACCCCAAGGTTAACAGGGAATGGCTCTGACTCCCGGCCACGTAGTTTTACCCGGGCCCGCTCACCATCATGACGGTCCTTAATGATCGTGAGCAGAGGGTCAGGTACTCCAAAAGCACGAAGAACGACCCAGAGCCCAGGCCTACTGATGGTATCATAGGCCTTGACCAGGTCAATAAAGCAGAGATGTAGGTCTTGTTGGAATTCCCTAAACCTCTGCTGTAGCAGACGGACAGAAAATATGGCATCTGTGCAGGACCGCCCTTTCCTGAAACCGCATTGGGGCTCCGCAAGCCTCTCCTCAGCGTGCCTGGCAAGGCGATGTTGAATAATCCTTGCCAGGACCTTTCCCGGCACACTGAGGAGTGAGATGCCCCTGTAGTTGTTACAGTCTGTGCGGTCCCCCTTCTTAAAAAGGGGGACCACCAGGACATCCTTCCAATCCTGCGGAACCTGTCCAGTGGTCCAGACTGTTGTTACGTCATATAGGGCAGTCTGTGCACAAACGCCGCCCTCTCTCAGCATTTCGCTTGGGAGATCATCTCTGCCCGCTGCCTTTCCTGGTCTCAGACTCCGGATCGCCTTCAGTACTTCCTCAACAGATGGCACCTCAGCCAGCCACTCACAGGGGGTGACTTCTTCCAATATTTGAGGCACAGCAGCCTCAGCAGGGTCATCCTCACTATGTGCCACGATGTTTTCCTGGCTGAGGGATTTTCCCTCCCCCAGGACCTCACAGAAATGCTCAGCAAATCTGCAAACCTGTTCCTGGGGGTCAGAGATTGGGCCACCGTTTTTTCCCCTAATGATGGTAATAGGTGTGGCGCTGCAGATTACTTTTTTGATGGAGTTAAATAGAGATTTGTGATCACGGGCCACTGAGGCAGACTCCATCTCCTCAGCAATCCGCGACCACCACCCATCCTTGCAGCGCCTCACGGCTCTCAGAACCTCCGAGCGAAGGCTGCGGTAAGCCTCCTCATTCTCTGACCTGGGATTCTGTAGCCGATGAAAGTGGGCCTGTCGCTTTTTCTCAACCATCCTGAACACCTCCTCTGTCAGCCAGGGTCTCTGGGGAGGTCTGGACCGCGTAGCCAAAGCAGCCATTGCAGCTGCATGAGTCACAGTCCTAAACCTCGCCCATTTACCCTCGACATCAGGAGGAGTCGGGGACAATGCCAATCCCAGCCGCAAGCGATGATGAAATTCTCGCTTGCAACTTTCATCAGATAACTGAGACCAGGCCACTTTAGGTCAGAATGGGGTCCTGGGTGTACACCCACCACCGGAGTAGAAGAATGGCAGGCGCATCTTACAGATGACTAGTCGATGGTCAGAGGGCAGATCAGCTCCACGGTAGGTCCTGGTGTCAAGGACATGGGCTCGCATCCACTGGTCCGTCACTATGTAGTCCAGCAGATGTTCTTGCTTGGACCCGGCATGCATCTATGATGTTGTGTGGATGCGCCGATGCCGGAACAGCGTGTTGGTAATTACAAGCCCATGGGCTGCACAAAAATCTAGCAGCCTCCTACCATTGTTATTGAGCTGATCTGGCCCATGCCCTCCAATCACTCCAGACCAGGTGCCAGTATCATGACCAACTCGGGCATTGAAGTCACCCAACATGATGACTCTATCCCGAGGGGCCACTTTAGCCAGCACCTGTGACAGGAGGTCATAGAAGGCATCTGACTCATCGGCTTTGCCTGCATCCCTCCACGGATGTTCATCTTCGGTGGGGGCATAAGTAACCACGACCACCATTCCTCGCCTCCGGTTGATGGGAAGGCGAGCCCAAAGTAGCCTGGGACTTACAGCTTCCCACACCTCACCGCCACGCTCCCACACCTCCTTCATTCTTTTGTTCAAAAGAAGAGCCACACCCTGTTGTTTGGCAGTCTGCTGCCCCGAGTAGAGGACTGTCCACCCCTCATGGTGGCAGGAGCCAGAGCCGGTCCACCGGACCTCCTGAATGCCACACAGATCCAGGCGGTACCGGTCCAGCTCCCGACAGAGGAGTGGCAGCATCTCCTCCGCAGTGAGCGTTCGAACATTCCACGTGGCCACCCGTAGTGGCTTTTCGTTGTTTCTGGAGGAGCCCCGAGGGTAGATATTCAATCTCCTGGCTCCGCCAATTGGGGTTTGGCCAGGAGACGTCATAGACGCCTGCCCCCCCGGGGCCTCCGGCACAAGATTATTAGTTACATATTTCAGTTTAACTCGTGGTTTAGTGGTAATTAATTGAAGGTGGAGGGGCTACCAGCAACTCACACCCGTCTAGAGCCCCCGTTTAGCCCCTGTGGTGGACACATATGCCATGAGGGGAGGAGCCAATCAAAATTGGACCTCCCCCCACAGCACTGTCCACGAGTTGCCCATCCGGCACCGCGAGGAGGTAGGGGGTTGTTTTGCCACACACCCACAGACTCACCCACATAGCCACCCACTCAGCCACTCACTCACACACTCATCCACACACCCATACACTCACCCACACACTCACCCACACACCCACTCACTTACTCACCACACTCACTCACTCACACACTCACTCACAAATAACAACAACTGCCATTCACCACTAAGTGGCGGTGCCGTCACCACGACGCTTGTGCCAGGCTATGTGCACGTTGAGGCCACGTGAAGTGTCGAACGCCCGCTGGCAGGAGGTCACGAGGCAGACCCAGCAGGTGCCACGGGTCGACTGACTGAGACGACTGGCTGATGCACCACCTATGCCCCCTACTGTGCCAACCTGCTGTGCTTTAGCCACCCGACGCTCCGCTCGTTGTTGTGAGCGTCGCTCCGCCGCCCTCCGTTGTTGTTGGAGGGCGACTGCCTCAAACTGCCCAGTAGCGTCCTTCACGAGCCTCCTCCACAGAGGCCGATCTTGACACCGCTGGTAGCGGTCATCGGCAAGTCCACTCAGCTCCACGTCCTCCTGTACCACATCACTCCATCTCTTCTCTAGCCCGTGCCGCGCCCGTTTAACCCCCTCGATCCGGCTGAACAAAAGCTGTTTCGGCATGCGGTGGCTGGGCATGCGGGCTAGATGACCCAGCCAACGCAGCATTGCCTGCCGGAGGAGCTCACTGATGGAACCGTGCCCAGATCTTTCAAGGATTTGTGAGCTCCTCACAAAATCCAGCCTGGTTAAACCCAGGATGGATCGTAGGCAGGCCAGCCTGAATGTTTCTAACCGGCGAAGATGTTCCATTAGGGGGGTCCATGTTTCGCAAGTGTAGAGAAGGGAGGGAATAACCGTGGCCGAGAAGACCTGAAGCTTCGTGCGGAGCGACAGACCAGGTAGCTTCCACACAGCGTTACGCAACCGATGGAAAGATAATGCCGCTCGACTGATTCGGAGTGAGACCTCTGCTTTTAAACCGGAGCCGGTCATGAGCACACTGCCCAGGTATGGGAAACTCTCCACTCTCTCCACAACTGCCCCATCACCAATCGGGAGCTGTGGGGGTGTAGTGTCTGATTGTACAAAATACCCACACACAGACAAATAAAGACAACAACAACAACCGCCATTCGCCACTAAGTGGCGGTGACGTCACCACGACGCTTGTGCCAGGCTATGTGCACCTTGAGGCCACGTGAAGTGTCGAACGCCCGCGGGCAGGAGGTCACGGGGCAGACCCAGCAGGTGCCACGGGCCGACTGACTGAGATGACTGAGATGACTGGCTGATGCACCACCTGTGCCCCCTACTGTGCCAACAAAGACACACACACGGAGACAAACACACACGGAGAGACACACACACAGACACGAAGACACACAGGCAGACACACACACACACAAAGACACACACGGGCACACACACAGACACACACACTGAAGGTCACCACCAACAGGAAATCCTTACCACACACAAACACATGTACAGTGCGGGCAAAAAAGTAGTTGATCCCCTGGTAATTTTGTACGTTTGTCCACTGATAAAGAAATGATCAGTCTATAATTTTAATGGTAGGTTGATTTGAACAGTGAGAGACAGAATAACAACAAGAAAATCCAGAAAAATGCATGCCAAAACATGTTATAAATTGATTTGCATTTTAATGAGGGAGATAAGTATTTGACCCCCTCTCAATCAGAAAGATTTCTGGCTCCCAGGTGTCTTTTATACAGGTAACGAGCTGAGATTAGGAGCACACTCTTAAAGGGAGTGCTCCTAAACTCAGCTTGTTACCTGTATAAAAGACACCTGTCCACAGAAGCAATCAATCAATCAGATTCCAAACTCTTCACCATGGCCAAGACCAAAGAGCTCTCCAAGGATGTCAGGGACAAGATTGTAGACCTACACAAGGCTGGAATGGGCTACAAGACCATTGCCAAGCAGCTTGGTGAGAAGGTGACAACAGTTGGTGCGATTATTCCCAAATGGAAGAAACACAAAATAACTGTCAATCTCCCTCGGCCTGGGGCTCCATGCAAGATCTCACCTCGTGGAGTTGCAATGATCATGATAACGGTGAGGAATCAGCCCAGAACTACACGGGAGGATCTTGTCAATGATCTCAAGGCAGCTGGGACCATAATCACCAAGAAAACAATTGGTAACACACTACGCCGTGAAGGACTGAAATCCTGCAGCGCCCGCAAGGTCCCCCCTGCTCAAGAAAGCACATACACATGCCCGTGTGAAGTTTGCCAATGAACATCTGAATGATTCAGAGGACAACTGGGTGAAAGTGTTGTGGTCAGATGAGACCAAAATGGAGCTCTTTGGCATCAACTCAACTCGCCGTGTTTGGAGGAGGAATGCTGCCTATGACCCCAAGAACACCATCCCCACCGTCAAACATGGAGGTGGAAACATTATGCTTTGGGGGTGTTTTTCTGCTAAGGGGACAGGACAACTTCACCGCATCAAAGGGACGATGGACGGGGCCATGTACCGTCAAATCTCGGGTAAGAACCTCCTTCCCTCAGCCAGGGCATTGAAAATGGGTCGTGGATGGGTATTCCAGCATGACAATGACCCAAAACACACGGCCAAGGCAACGAAGGAGTGGCTCAAGAAGAAGCACATTAAGGTCCTGGAGTGGCCTAGCCAGTCTCCAGTACCTTAATCCCGTAGAAAATCTGTGGAGGGAGCTGAAGGTTCGAGTTGCCAAACGTCAGCCTCGAAACCTTAATGGCTTGGAGAAGATCTGCAAAGAGGAGTGGGACAAAATCCCTCCTGAGATGTGTGCAAACCTGGTGGCCAACTACAAGAAACGTCTGACCTCTGTGATTGCCAACAAGGGGTTTGCACACCAAGTACTAAGTCATGTTTTGCAGAGGGGGTCAAATACTTATTTCCCTCATCAAAATGCAAATCACAGAAATAGGTTTTACCCTTTTAACTGGCACAAAAACTGACACCTTTATTCAAGGCATCATGCCTGCAATAACCACAACACAAGCAGTCAAAATGCACACAAAAAAAGACAACTCTGATAATAATAATAATAATATTGGCACTGTCCTTGAATTTGATTGGTCCACACCCGAGACGGATTTTCTTAGAGCCCTTTAGTCTCTCCACTGGTGTTGGACCAGAAGACGCCAAAAGGCGTACAACTTTAAAAACAGCGCACTATCAGAGTTATTGAGGTGCTTGGGGTGAGCCATTAACATTATGAGACCTCCTTTGCCAGCAACAAGATATAGGAATAGGTTTTACCCTTTTAACTGGCACCAAAACTGACACCTTTATTCAAGGCATCAACTTTTCTACAATAACCACAACACAAGCAGTCAAAATGCAAACAAGGGTAAAACCTCTTCTTTGGTTCTTTCGGTAAAGTCACCGCCACCACGTAGAATGAGAATAAAATAATAAATTGATAAAATACAATAACACGATAATATTCTCACGACGTTTCGGCCACAACACAAGCGGCCTTCATCAGGTGAAGGGACGAGACTGTCTGGTAGGACAGCGCTGGAGTGAAAGAGCCACGTTCAGATCACGGCCTTTAAGCTGTGTGAGAGGAACAAAGCCGTGATCTGAACGTGGCTCTTTCACTCCAGCGCTGTCCTACCAGACAGTCTCGTCCCTTCACCTGATGAAGGCCGCTTGTATTGTGGCCAAAACGTCGTGAGAATATTATTATTATTGTGTTATTTTATTTTATCAATTTATTATTTTATTCTCATTCTACGTGGTGACTTTACCGAAAGAACCAAAGAAGATGAATCATTGCAGTCACGAAAGCTTTAAATCGAAGGGTAAAACCTATTCCTATATCTTGTTGCTGGCAAAGGAGGTCTCATAATGTAAATGGCTCACCCCAAGCACCTCAATAACTCTGATGGTGCGCTGTTTTTAAAGTTGTACGCCTTTTGGCGTCTTCTGGTCCAACACCAGTGGAGAGACTAAAGGGCTCTAAGAAAATCCGTCTCGGGTGTGGACCAATCAAATTCAAGGAGTGCCAATATCAATAATATTATTATCAGAGTTGTCTTTTTTTCGTGTGCATTTTGACTGCTTGTGCTGTGGTTATTGTAGAAAAGTTGATGCCTTGAATAAAGGTGTCAGTTTGTGTGCCAGTTAAAAGGGTAAAAACCTATTCCTCTATCTTGTTACTGGCAAAGGAGGTCTCATAATGTAAATGCTCACCCCAAGCACCTCAATAACTCTGATAGTGCGCTGTTTTTAAAGTTGTACGCCTTTTGGCGTCTTCTGGTCCAACACCAGTGGAGAGACTAAAGGGCTCTAAGAAAATCCGTCTCGGGTGTGGACCAATCAAATTCAAGGACAGTGCCAATAATATTATTATCATTATCAGAGTTGTCTTTTTGGTTTGCATTTTGACTGCATGTGTTGTGGTTATTGCAAACACGACGCCTTGAATAAAGGTGTCAGTTTTTTGTGTGCCAGTTAAAAGGTGGTTAAAACCTATTTCTATATATCTTGTTACCGGCAAAGGAGGTCTCATAATGAAAATGCAAATCAATTTATAACATGTTTTGACGCGCGTTTTTCTGGATGTTGTTGTTGTTGTTGTGCCTCTCACTGTTCAAACGAACCTACCATTAAAATTACAGGCTGACCGTTCCTTTGCCGGTGGGCAAACGTACAAAAATCAGGCCAGGGGGTCAAATACTTTCTAGATTTGAGGCTTCCGTCACTCCGAGGATCCACGCGCTCTTTGGATCTATTCGCTAAGGTCACGTAGAAGGTAAAAAAACAAAAAAAAATATGAAATAACGGAAAATTCTCACGACGTTTCGGGCCGCAATGCAAGCGGCCTTTGTCAGGTGAAGGGAAGCAGCGTCTACACGTGCTGCTGCTGCTGCTCGTAATGCCAGACCCTCGCTCGTTCGTCAAGTTAATGTTCATTAAAGATTCTCATTGTGGTCCCATTGGGGGATCTCTGCTGTCTCCACACCATCGTGTACACGGTTGGATGCGATCACCCATCAGCGTTACGTCTTACGTACGATCACTGTGTGTGTGTGCAGTAAAACCTACGATACAGGCACAGACAAAGCTCCCCCGTGTAGCCTCTAGCAGGGCTGTAGGGGCAAGTGCTGTTAGTAGTAGCGAGTAGCACCACCTGTGATACACACACAGACAAAGGTCCCCCAGGTAGCCTCTAGCAGGGCTGCAGGGGCAAGTGCTGTTAGTAGTAGCGAGTAGCACCACCTGTGATACAGACACAGACAAAGCTCCCCCAGGTAGCCTGCAACAGGGCTGTAGGGGCAAGTGCTGTGACAGCTCCTACGATACACACACAGATAAAGCTCCCCCGTGTAGCCTCTAGCAGGGCTGTAGGGGCAAGTGCTGTGAGTAGTAGCGAGTAGCACCACCTGTGATGCACACACAGACAAAGCTCCCCCAGGTAGCCTGCAACAGGGCTGTAGGGGCAAGTGCTGCTAGTAGCGAGTAGCAGCGCCTATGATACACACACAGACAAAGCTCCCCCAGGTAGCCTCTAGCAGCACCACCACAGCGACACCACCACCACAGCTACAGCACCACCACCACAGCTACACCACCACCACAGCTACACCACCACCACAGCTACACCACCACCACCACCACCACAGCACCACCACCACAGCTACAGCACCACCACCACAGCTACACCACCACCACAGCTACACCACCACCACTACACCACCACAGCGACACCACCACCACAGCTACAGCACCACCATCACAGCTACACCACCACCACAGCTACACCACCACCACCACAGCTACACCACCACCACTACACCCCCACAGCGACACCACCACAGCTACAACACCACCACTACTACCACAGCTACACCACTACAGCTACACCACCACCACAGCTACACCACCACCACATCTACACCACCACCACAGCTACACCAACACCACCACAGCTACACCACCACCACATCTACACCACCACCACAGCTACACCACCACCACCACCACTACACCACCACTACCACAGCTACACCACCACCACAGCTACAATACCACCACAGCTACACCACTACCACTACCACAGCTACACCACCACCACCACAGCTACACCACCACCACCACCACAGCTACACCACCACCACCACAGCTACACCACCACCACTACACCACCACCACAGCTACACCACCACCACCACCACAGCTACACCACCACAGCTACACCACTACAC